GACATGCAAATCAGCTGCTAGAGGCATGGACTGGAGAACGACTGCAACAACAAGTACCAGCAGCGCAGTTACCTCTGGACATACTGGCCGATGCGGGTGAAGCGAAGACTCCCAAACATGCCCCAACACAACAAGCACAACATTCGCCCCGAAACCTAGCAGCACAGCGGCCGAAGCGGCGACGCGAATTCGTGCCACCCATGCAAGTCAACCCCAAACTGAAATCGTACAACACTACTCAAATGGGGGAAGTGTTGGGAAGGAATACGCGAGTCGAACAAGCCAGGACCCTATCGCCGCGGCAGGCGATCCAAACTCATCCGCCCTGATTGGGGCGAACAGAGAGCCAACCGAGAGAAGCGGTCAATTAACGCGAGGGCGGCGTTCATTTGTTGGCTGTAAGTTGACCTTTCCAGAGCTGTCCACGGTCGCTTTAAATACTATTCACGAACTTTCCATTTTACCTTTATAATGAATGGTGTGATTTGCTAATACATCCCTGTTGCTCTGCTCGTCCGATCCGGTCTTCTCTCTGTCCTGTGGGGGGACAGCGACTTCGGGTTTGCTTGGGAATCAAGCGTCCATTCAGGCGGGGGACTAACACTTCAACAAGGAACCCTATTCTTTGGAACATAGACTACAGATCCACTGATAGTCTTACCTACCCAGCAAACTTGACCTTTGTACACAATGAGCCGACTATATCAGTAGTATGTAGGTACGCTATTCACACGAGCGTACGGCCAACTGAAATAACACAGCATGAGAAATTTGTAGCTGTAAACGTTTTAAAAATTTATTTGTGAAGACGTTCTAGATTTACCTTCATACGAATTACTGGACTGTTTTTGATTTCCTCACACTGCCTTAACAATCACACGCATATCCTAAGCGAAAGCACACACTCTCGATTCTCCAGATTGCTAGTTGTTGCACGATTACACTTTGCATACCGTGTCACGTGTGGCCAGATAGGCAAGCTTGCAAGAAAGGCAACCGCGGTACAGTCCACCAGTAAGCCTTCAAAGCTTCTCTTCCAATAGTCTGCAAGGGTTGCAGCCTCAACAAATGCTACCAATCGGCTTCTTATTACCACTCAGATGTCAGCTCGCTCTCGTGTTAGTGAAAACTTGCGCCAGATTGGCAGCATGACCAAGCACGTAGTACGTCTCCGAGTGGCTGATCATCATCGACACGACAACGAAGCCGCTGATGGACCAGTACTATCGATCGCTTCAGTTGGTAGTTTACCCGTTCGTTCGCACTCGTAGCGGAGTAAACTTCTCGTGTGCTCTGGATCACATTGGTCGGCTGCGTATCACGCGATGCACTTTGGGGTCGAGTCTGTGGCCACACCAAAGGAAGACCAACAAGTGTGACGCTGTGCGCGCGTGCAGTCGTATGGACGCTTTCGGGCATGTCGATTGGACGGTCTGACTTCAGAGAACCCCTCGGCTATCCTTCAGGCGCGCATTTGTGCGGCACAGATTGTGCTAGTACTTTTAAACAAGAGCATATTTTGAAAAGATTGTCTTGTTTAAAACTACCTGTGGACTGGTAGTATGCTTGCAGGTTCGCTGTACAATTGGTTCCGTTTGTCGGTCGCCTATCTGTTGATCGCAATCGGTGTACCAGCACATTTCTATGGTGTCGAGGATGATCAGCCAATGGGAGACATAATACGTGATTAGTCATGTTGCCAATCTGGCGTAAGGTTTCACTACCACGAGAGCGAGATGACATCTGAGTGGTAATAAGAAGCCGATTGGTAGCATTTGTTGAGGCTGCAGCACTTGCAGGCTATTGGAAGAGAAGCTTTGTAAGCTTATTGGTGGACTGTACCGCGGTTGCCTTTCTTGCACGCTCGCCTATCTGGCCACGCGTGGTACAGCATGCATAGCGTAATCGTGCCACTGTGAGCAATCTTGAGAATCGAGAGGTGTGTGATTTCTCCTAGGATATGCGTGTGATTGTTAACGCAGTGGGAGGAAATCATCAACAATGCAGTAATTCGTATGAAGGAGGTATAGCTAGAACCTCATCGCAAATAAATTTTTAACACCTTTACTGCTACCAAGTTCTCGTGCTGTTTTATCAGTTGGCCATATACTCGTGTGAATGCTGTGCCTACATACTGTTGATGTAGTCGGCGAACTGTATGCTAAGGCCAGGTTCGCTGGGTAGGTAAGACCATCAGTGGATCTGTAGCCATGGTTCCAAAGAGGAGGGTTCCTAGCTTGACAGTGACACGATATTAGTGAGTGTTCGTTCGGCTCCACACCTGTGGGCCAATTCGGTAATCAGTTTCCGCTACAGGACTCATGGACCTGCAGTTATGTTAAGGTCGCAAGATGCATGTCAATCCTGTGTCTCAATAAGATATTTACGCTTCACTTCCAAGTGATTGACAAGCTAGAAATACAAAGTGACCCTACGGCCCTGATATGATTTGCCAACGAGCGTTGCATACGCATAGTAAGCATAGAGTTTGGAGCAATTTTCTTCCTTCAACAATGTCTCCTGAATTATCTACTTTCCAATGACAAAATGTTTCCGAGTAGTTGCCAAGTCGATAAAAACCTGTGTCACGGGGTGCACACATGACTGCTTCTAAGCCTAGCTGAAACAGTGGTCCACAGCAGGATTGGTGGGCGCGGTTGCCTTTGTAAATGCTTGCAAACACATTGTAGGAAGAAGTCACCACGATTGGTGATGAAACGTTTGCAATGAAACTGTTCAGCTCGGAGAACAGAATAACATTTGAACCTACCTAAACATTATTGATTATCCCTCGTTGATTAATAATTAATGAGTGTTTAGTGAATTCCCTAGTATACGATCATAAGCCTGCAAAGCAGCACAGCTAAATAACTCTTCTATCAGCTTGCGCGTCAAATGTTGTCCTCTTGAGTAGGTAGTCGTTCGCCTGGTCTTATGTTGACTGCACACTAAGGCGAAAGCAGGGTCAGCTCTTAGGTCCGTTTGACACTGGAAACACTCATGTTTGGGGAACTGCAATTCAATTAACCTGCGTGGCAAATCTTAACCACGCACTAGGTGATATTCACGCCACGTCAAAACAGCAGTCTGAACTCTATACATTACCACACGGGCTTCGAAACACGTGAAAATTGGGCATGCAATTTAGCTCGCATTCACTACTAAATCTGTGACCTCAAAGCACAAAACACAACCTCACTGGAACAAGCGGTAACGGACGTGTGCGCTTCCATGTGCTCAAGCCTCGCGAATCCAGCCTCAACGCAATGCAATTAGAATGGAAATCACAGTCATTATGTAAGCACAAGTCTCATTTTCTTGTATATACCATTAATTCGTGTACAATATTATTATTCATATTAGTGCCAATCATCTGATTCTGTAAGTGGTCACGATTTAAGCAGCACTAGTATTGGTGACCCCGAGTTGAGACACACTGTACTTTATTCAGCAGTTTATTTTTGTGTGTGCATGAAACACTGGGACTGTTCCATCACACCAGTCTGATCGCTCACACCCCTCACTACCAGACATTAACGTAGTTTCTGTGAACCTTCTGCCTATTTAGCCTCATGTCCCACAGATATGGTTTACTCAGGTGCATGCACAGTTTGTTCTTCGCAATATCAACCTCGAACAGACCAGGTTTTATCATATGCTAGCCGTATTACCATCAAAGGTTGTTGTTGACTTACGAGATATTTTATCGTCACCGAATGACGCTAAGCTTTATTCGCAGCTTAAACATACAGTCATCCAAAAAATCGCCGTTTCTAAACACAAACGTCTTGAACGATTGATTAGCAGCGAATCACTTGACGGACGTACTCTCCCAGTTCCTAAGACGTTTTCACACTTGATTAGTCGATCGCAAACTGGATGACGCGTTATTCAAGCAGCCAGTTCCGAAGCGTCTACATACGCAGGTATAGGCTATCTAGGCCAGCAACGCTGATAGTGTTTCTCTGATGCCACTGGATAGTATCACTGACAATATTTTAAAAATCCAGCCTAGCACAACTGACATCGACGCCGTTGAAACGCACAGTCTACTAAACTAGATTAACGACCGTATGGACGATTTGACTGAACAGATGTCGGAACTTCAGTTAAATCGACCGACACTACGCCGTTATTCTAGCACTCGTTCATCTACCAGACCAAGAGGCCCTTCTTCCTCTTGTACTTCAATCACTTGTAGATACCAAAGTCGTTTCGTGCGTTCAGCTAGTAAATGCACCCCATCCTGCTCCTTCCTTCAAACGTAGTCGCCAGAGTTCCCGCCGTCGGGAAACGAACAGACCAGGCGATAGAGGCTAGCACCGTTCTTGGCCAACAGCTATCAAACTCTCTCTGACTCACGGTCACAGATCAGACCTCCTGTTTCCGTTTACTTGTCGGCACTGGTGTTGACATCGGCGTAATACCTCCAAACGGCTCTTTTGTTAACCGCACTCCATCCTCGATGTGCTCAACAGCAGCTAATGGGACAAGTATTAAAACTTACAGTCAACGAACCTTACTACTCAGCCTTGGAATACGGCGACAATTCAGTTGGATTTTCATAATCGCAAAGTATATCCTCCTATATTAGGCTGTTAAAACCTGTTACAGTCAGAACTAATGGCACAAACCCTACTAGCGAACTGGAGTAAATTCCGTTGCAGATTGCCAACAGAAATTCGTCTGAAAGCAGCGGGAACACCGGCGCCTTCTAATGACAATTCAGTAGAGACACAACTCTTAATGAAAACGCCAACTGCAGAACCCGACTCGGGGACGGTTTCAAGAGTAGCCATACTATCCGGAGGGACACAGCAGAGCACGAGCAAACACCGGGATTCGGGGCATCTGATACTTGCTTATATATCAAATACTTCTCGAGAGTATGCAACCCATCCAAAAAAAGATTAGTCGCCGGCCCTTTAACGATCGGGGTAAACTCATTTGCTTCATCCATCCAATCTGACACACTCTTGGTCTCTGAGAAGCTCTCATGCATGTACACAAATGCACAAGGTCTACTCAGCAAATTAGCTGAATTAAGACTTCGACACGCGTCTGCAGCTTGGGACCTCATCGCTGTCACCGAAACGTGGTTGCGCTGCGAGATAACGGATGCTGAAATTGCACTAACAGGCATGTCCGTTGTCCGGAAGGATCGAACCAGCAAAGGTGGTGGGGTAGCCCTTTACTTTCGTAACAACATGCAATGCGAACACATAAACGATCTGGACACTGATGTGCCTGAAGCCATTTGGTGTAATTTGCAACTAAGAGGGAACGATTTTGGCCTACTGGTAGTTGCTTACAGCCCACCGTCGTCTACTGAGATGGACTGCAATTTGATGGCTGCATTGAAGCACGTGATAAACAGGAAGTACAGTCACATTCTAGACACCGGTGGATTCAACTTACATGCCCTCGAATCCCAGGCCACACCAGGAGGGCAATTCAAAGCAGATTTGCAAAATCTGGTTTCAGACTTCCCGCTTTATGGCCACGTCACTAAGCCCACCAGATTCAGGGGAACTGACAAGACATCCATGTTGGACCGAATATTCACCAATGAAGAATTAATGGTCGAGAGAGTAATAATGGATACTCCCCTGGACCACAGTGAGCATGTGACGCTAGTGTTTCATTACAGGTGTTACGCGGATTATCCTAAAGAGCATGCCAAGGAATATCGTGTCGTAATCAACTATGAAGACTTGTCCGACCTCACTGATGCAACCAGCTGGTCGTTCTTAGGTGAATTAACCCCGAGGTGGCCTGCGGTGAATTCGTAAACATATTTACCAAGCTCGTGGCAAGGACATCTGAAACCAAACTCTACCGTCCTAAAAGGACGAAGTCGTTCGTAAGGAGCAGGACACGTAAGTGCATGGCATTAAGGGACTTGGCATGGCACACCTATATACCCGCCCCGAACGACCATACCTGGGATGTCTACAGAATCCATAGGAACCACTTTGTCAAACTCGTCCGGGAGGATAAACTGAAGAACCAACAAAGTCTAGTGGAAAAGTTTTCCTCCAATCCTAAACTGCTATACAGACACGTAAACAATTTGCGCCGTGTTAAGCGAAGTATTCGCACTCAGCACACAGCATGCGGGTTAGCCCAAACCGCACAAGAGGCGGCCAACGTCCTTGGACAACAATTTGGCCGTACCTTTCATACCGCGCAATCATCATACATCCTGCCTAAGCAGATAACGCCGTCATCAGGGCTTAATCACACATCGCTCACCTCCGCAGCTGTACTGAAGAGGCTGATGTCTCCGCGCGAGTTCAACTCCCCGGGTGCGGACGACATTCACCCGAAGGCGTTGAAAGTTGTTGCCATGAGTTTAGCAGAACCATTAGCAATTTTCTTTCAACGATGTCTGAACGAGATGCACGTCCCCACGATGTGGAAGCACGGAATCATCAAGCCTATCTACAAAAGTGGTAGCCATGCTGAACCAGAAAATTATCGCCCGATAACACTACTTCCTGTGATCTCCAAGGTTATGGAGTCCATCGTAGCCGAGGCTTTGATGGGGTACTTGGAGAACAACAAAATTCTCGTTCTGGAACAGCATGGATTTCACCAAAATCGCTCCTGTACCACTAATCTCTTGATTGCTCGTGCAAATTGGACGGAATCTGTGGACGCTGGTGCAGGAGTCGACGCTGCCTACTTGGACTTCTCAAAGGCATTCGACCGTATAGACCATCACATTCTCCTCCACAAACTCCAGAAATATGGAATCGGCGATCCTGTTCTGGTCTGGATAGGAGACTTTCTCCTGCAACGTCAACTGAATGTAAGGGTCCGAAGCAACCTATCAGAATCCATCGAAGTTCAGTGCGGCGTACCTCAGGGCTCGGTACTTGGACCCCGCCTGTTCCTGGTTTTCATAAATGATTTCGCGGGCGTGCTATCTTCTAACTGCTTTCTATTTGTTGATGATCTAAAAGTATGACCTACTATAGTTGCAGTGGAGGATCACACAGTGTTACAGGAGGACGTGGACAAAGCGTACACATGGTCCATCACGAACATGCTGCATTTCAACATCACCAAGTGCAAAGTTCTCAGTATGCGGCACAAGAGCACGCACAACTACCGCCTAGGACCACAAATTCTACAGCGGGCTTCTCCCGAGTGCGGTCTCGGCGTGATAGTTCAAGATGACCTCGGTTGTTCCAGGCAAACTGAAAAGGCAGCTAAGAAAGCAAACCAGTACATCGGCCTTCTTCGCAGAGCCTTCGGGAAGTTTGACCCTTCGATCTTTCTAAAAATGTTTAGTGCGTACGTGAGACCGCACGCGGAATACGCTACTTAAGCGTGGCAACCCTGGCTCAAGCACCAGCTCACCGCGCTCGATACTGCACAACGTAGGGCAGCGAAGAGCGTCAGATGTTTGACCAACCTCCCCTGCCCACTCAGGCTGAAGACCCTCAAAATATGCAGTGGACGTTATCGGCGTCTAAGGGGCGATCTCATAATGGTGTACCAGATCCTGAGAAACCCCAACCACCCATGCCATTCCCTTCTAACACTCAGTCAAAACACCTCGCTAAGAGGTCACCAGTTTAAGTTAGTCACGCAGTACAGCCGCCTGGAATGTCGGCGAAACTATTTCTCCATTCGAGTGGCGCAGCCTTGGAACGCCCTCCCAGAACATGTAATTAATGCACCCACCCTATCCCTTTTCAAAAAACGCCTTGACGATACCCCGTCACATTTACACTACGTGCTATAGCTCATGACCACCAGATGCTGGCACCAATGCACAATAGACAGTGGGCAGTGCCATAACCCTACTCGAGAATGAGTCATTCCAAAGGCCTTGCACGAAATTTGCTAAACGCTAGTACCATGGAAACTGAATTTCAGTATCCCGTCGACCCAAGATAGTTGCACACGAGTAAGCGTTGCCCTTGCCATCTATTTTATTTTTCTCGCCTATGATGTGAACAATAACCACTCCCCTGTAGCTTTGTGTGCGTACATTCTCATTTCAAACTCACTTTATATGACAGTGCAGTTACATCTGTAAGCGCCTGACCTGATAACTCCATTATCCCTTCGCTATCTTTTTTTTTGTCACGCTAAACACCCTAGGGGACATGTCAAGCACCTGCCTTTTTACCCGTCATAAATCATTGTTCATTGTTCATCTTCACACATTTCAACTTATTAGTGGGTCCTGAATTCACTTGTTCGCAGAACTTCGTAATTAGTATGCGAATGTTTCATCGCCAAATGAGGTGACTTCGTCAGCGCGTTGTTGGGTCAAATGTAATCCGCTGATTTGTTCGGCGATTTGTAATCGATCAGCAAGTGACTTTTGAATTGACCCCCTCGATCTATGCCCTGTGACCTTCACCGGTCTGCCCAACTCTTATAGACAAGGGCGATCCGTGGGATGGTTTTGCCCAGGCTGTTGTTGATGTGTTGTTGATGGCTCGTTCAGTTGCCCACGACGATTTTTGTTAAAGGTGTTTTAGTTCCCTCCGTCTTAACGTTTGGCACACTGGATCAATCTCCATGTGCATGTTTATCGAATGCTGCATCGAGTACCGTGCTTCGAGGAACGCTCGTACTTTGCGTGTCTCTCCTTTTGCTAGGACTTCTGTGTTGTTCCAATCGTAGTGATGTCCTTCTTCTTCTGTATGTATTGAAACCAGTGAGAAAGCGTAATGGTTCTTACAAGCTATCTTATGCTCCCGTATTCTCGTTGACAGTCGTCTTCCTGTCTGACCCACATAGTTTTAGCACAATCTTGATATCATGTAAACAAGTTTTCGTCTTTCGTGTGTTCCGCGTCTAGCTTTGGGGTTCGACAGAGTTCTCCTCAATGTGACAGTTGGTTTGTAGGCCACTGTAATCCTAATCTTACTGTCATCTCGGAGATGTTCTTTACATAGGGTAGAACGATTCTTTTTTTGTCGTCTGAGTAGGCTGAGGGGTGGTAGCTTTGTTGTTTAGACATCCCCGGAAGAAGCTATGTGGATATCTATTTAGATGAAATGATCTAGACAGTTATATCTCTTCTTTTCGCTTTGCCTCAAGATTGCTACAATGTGTTTCAATTCTACGCAAGAGAGTTCGCCCTCAGCTTATTTTGTGACATTTTGGGTGATTGCTGGAATAGTTTAGTATCTAGTCGGTGTGTGTTCCTTTCCTGTAAACCGATGTTTGTAACTCTCCGTCAATCGTCCTGGTGACTAACACATCCAAGAAGGGGAGCTAGTTTTCTATCTCTGATTCCATTGTAAAATGAATGTTTTCAATGGTGTTATTGTGTAACTGGTATGCAGCCTCTAATTGACTACGTTTCAGCGTCACGTACGTATGATTGACGTATCGGATCCACAACTTTGGCTTGATTATGGGCAGTTCGTTCTCTTCAAGTTTCTGCATTGCTATTTCTGCAACGAGCCCTGACACAGGGAATCTCATCGGCGCTCTTTTTCACTTGTTCACAGATCAGTCCATCAAAATCAAAGTAGGTCGCGAGGCATAGGTCAAGTAGCTTGCACAGATTTTCAGTCGTCAACTTTCCGATTGTTTTCTCACTTTGGTCCAGCCTTTCGGTGATTGCTTGTTTTGCGGTCTGTAAATTGGCAGACGTAAAGAGTGTGGTCACCTTGAATGATACCATTGTCTCGTCATGATCTACTCGTATACTTTTGAGCTTCTCCAGAAATTGCTATGCACTATGTATAGAGTGTTGTGATCCCATTGTTAGATGCTTGAGACGTCTCCACAACTCTCTCGCTAGGTTGTACGTAGGTGTGCCTGGAAGCGATACGATTGGTCTTAGTGGTGCATGGTCTTTATGTATCTCTGGAAGACCGTAGAATTATGCTAAGTTCGGATCGCGGGTCATCATTCTAGCCCAAACTTCCTTTGTAATCCGGTTCCGTTCTTGGAACAATTTCAACATTCTGTTTATTCTGTTTGTCATTTGCGTTGTTGGATTTTTTCGATGCGGCGGTAGGTTGTTGTGTCACTCAGAAGCTGTTTCGCTTTTTAACAGAATCCTCTTTATCCAATATAACCGTCATGCCCCCCTTGTCCGCAGGTGAAATTACAATGGATTCATCGGCTTTTAGGGATTTTATTGCATCCCTTTCTTCTTGAGATAAGGAATTGTGCTGTTTGTCTCGTGCTACGACTGAAATAATTGTATATCATAGTTGGTTCTGCGCATCAGCGTCAAACCCGCTGAACTGGATTGCGCTTTCGCATCCGGACAGGTACTCTGTAGTCACAGTATCTTTTAAATTGTAGTTGAACCCTTTGGTGAGGATTTGTTTTTCTACTACGGAGTGGACAATTGGATAGATTTCGAATCTAGTTCTCTTTGTTACCTACGTTATTGTCCTGAGTCAAGTTCAAATACTTGTCCTTTAATGCCTCCTGTTTTCTCCTCCTAGTTTTCTCCACTCTGCGTTCACTTGCTAAGCTGAGTTGCTCGGTTAACCGTTGTCCCATCAGTCTCAGACAACTAGTTCGATGCTCATTGATGCATCTTTCATATTTCTTAATACGGTTGTGGGCGTCCGTGATCATGATTCGTACCATGTGTTTCCCAAAATCTTGTGCAACTGTCCATGCTTGTAGATGTTTAATTGGAGGTCTGTAGCTGATGCTGCGGGGAAGAGCATCATTGCGCAAACAATCATGAAGTAAAGTCGGTTAGTGGATCTACAAAGCCAGTGTTTGCTAGATTTCACAACGCAGCTTTCCGTTCCTCGTAACACAGTGTGTAAACCATTCAGCAGCCTAGTAACTCTTTTGCCACAAAACACTTTTCCATACTACAGGCTCCTTCGTAGATTTCCAGTTCTATTAAAACCAAATTTGACTCAGCGAAATACCACACATGCTGTATTCCACCACATCAGCGCAAGCGGTGTTCCAAGTTTTCTCTCGTCCGGGACGGCTACATCCCGAAAGTCTGAAAACAATTAAGGATGAGTTTCAACACATGCTCTAAGTAGGAATAATTCGACCATCTCAATGCATGTGTGCATCACCGTTGCATATGGGAGCAAAGAAGACAGCATCCGATTAGAGACGATGTGGCGACTACAGAGCACTTAATCGTATCATCATTCCTGATAGGTACCCCATTCCACACATGCCCGATTTTTCTTCTCATCATCTTGGATGCACTACTTTTTCACACATTGACGTAATGCGCGCTTATCACCATATCCGTATTCATCCTGATGTTATTCATATAACAGTTATCACAACACCATTCGGTTTGTTCGAATTTTAGCGTATTTTGTTTGGTTTATGTAACGCTGCACAAACATTTTAACGCTTTATTGATCAGGCAATTTCAGACCTACCATTTGTCTTCGCTTCCCTTGATAATATTTTGATTGTAAGCATTAACGAAGATGAACACTTGGAATATCGAGAAAACTTATCTACACGTCTTAACAAGTACGAATTGGTCATCAACAGCAATAAGTGTGTCTTTGGTTCATTTTCTTGGAACTTTCTTGGTCATACCTTTGATAGCACAAGCATTTCGCCAACTTCAAATAAGCTTGACGTCATTAGAAATCTTCCCACACCCACTTCTGTGAAACAGTTGAAACGTTTCTTACGCATTCTTAAGTTATACCGCCGTTTCATTCCAAAGGTCGCAAACACATGTTATCTCCACTCAAGAGTTTATTGTTTGCTGATCCGAAGCCATTCCATTTCAGTGGCGCCAATGCATGAGCTTTCGACGAAGTCAAATTTCCCTCTTTACTGCCACGATGAACTTCTACCTGAAACTCGATGTTCCGCTGTTGTTAAACCTTGATGCACCCAATGCAGCTATCGGAGTTGTCTTGCAGCAGACCGTGCACAAATTCGAACAACTACTCGGATTTTTCTCCTACAAACTCCCACAAGCCGAAATTGGATACGGTACGTTTGGTCATGAGTTACTCGCCACATACTCAA